ATGATGATGATGATGATGATGATGATGATGATGATGATGATGATGATGATGATGATGATGATGATGATGATGATGATGATGATGATGATGATGATGATGATGATGATGATGATGATGATGATGATGATGATGATGGTGATGATGATACTGGTGAAGGTGATGGTGATACTGGTGAAGGTGATGGTGATGGTGATACTGGTGATGGTGATAATGAAAATGCTTAGTCATGACAAAATACACGGATAACAATTTTTGAGGAAATACAAATTAAGTAAGCATGACTAACCCCGTACGAACGACGTTCCAACGTTTCCTGTTCTTTCAGCTCTTGGAAGAAAATGTTGATCCTTAAAAAATTTTCCCTGAAATGAATGAATATTATTGTTAATTTGGAAAACACTGACATAGATAAAGAGGAGTAATAATAGCCTGGTCATATACCTAAAATATTGGCTAAAATCTGTAATGTTTTCAAACAAATCAAGAACTTTGTGTCGAACTCGAACAAGCTCTTCCAGTAGCGATGGCTAAAAAATAGGATGGATGGTGGATAAGTTTTTCAGAACGATGTGTTGAAAGAGACAAACACGGAAATCTTTAATTAAAAGGATTGCTTACTAAATATTTTTCTGCGGGCCATATCGCTGAAGAAATAATTGGATTGTACGCCGTTGTTCTAAAAGGAATGAATAGTTTATTGCATTGCTTCTCTCGATAAAAAGATACCGTTGATGTTGTTTGTAAAACAACTCTTCCTACCTGCAAGGTACAGGACAGTAGCATGGTAACTTATTCGCTCGAGCTAAACGTTCAAGTCTTTCAAAACATTCCACTGGAAAAGAAAAGTTAAATGGATTGATAAGGATTCAGTCACGATCTTTATGACCTTAAATTATTTTACTAAGGGCAAACTTTTGTTTATTTTGTATATCCAAATATATTTCAGATTTACAAAACATTTTCGGATTATTACCACATATTTACCTAACCTGAGATAGTCGAGATACAAGACAGTTCTCGCAGGTAATTTTGATTTTGGTTAGAGGAGACTTAACGTAGCAATAATTGTGTTGCGATACCTTCTGTTTGATTGTCAACTGAACACGTTTTCATGTCCAGCAAAAACTGAGTTCCGGCGCAATGACATTGACGAATAATTTCATCCGAAAGACATTTCTTAAGACAACCCTATGGCAGAAAAATCAGGTTTATCCTTAGTCTTAACACAGTGGATTTGTGTTGATAAATATTGATGATGGTGATATTGGTGATTGTGATGGTAGTGGTGGTGGTGATGATCGTGATCGGTGGTGATTATGGTGATGATGGTGATGCTGAAGTTTGGTCCATGCAGGTTATGGTGATGATGACACTATTACCTTTTGAGAATAGAGATATTCCTCTCCATTTCGAACAGATGTTTCTATATTAGGATCACATTTCACTGTTTCGGTTGTCCACTGTAAATTTCAAAGGAAGAAATTAGTGATACCAATTTTTGGGTGACATCCATGTTGACAAAAACGTTACTTGCTTAAGCTCATTTAATGTAATGAATAACCGAGCTATCCAATATAAATAAAGTTGGTTTAGTTTCGGTGTCTTTCTGCAATACCACTGGGCCGAGAAAGAAAGGATTCCCCTCACTGGAAAGACAATTCCGGCAGAACTAATAGAGCTATTCAACAAAGATTTTTGTAGTTTTAAGTATCGATTCGTTCTCGTGTCGTACCTTCTGAAGCGATATGGCTGTGGTATATCCAGGCGCAACAGAGAATCCTTCCTCATCGGGCAGCGGTTTGAAATGAAATCCGTGAATCACAACACGAGCTCCAGCTGCTGACGCTATACGATCCATGTATTCATCTTGGTCAATAAATAACGATAAACTAAGACCTAAAAGGTCCCAACAATAAATCTATTACTTGAATTTGTAAGATTATCTTCCGCTATATAACATGGTGATGGTCAACTGACATACCATTGTACGGTCCAGTTCCACTCACGTGACTACCGACTTTGCTTGTATTAAACGTGAAACAGTTTCCATACATGAAATTTTGAAATACTTCAAAGTGACTAGAAAGGTGAAATGAATGTTTAGTTTGTATTATATTGGGCCAAATTATGGAACAGACAATCTGTATCAAGATGCGTCCAAAGCCCCCGCGGTAAAATGAAGATGAGAGGTGATTAGAACTAATTGCAACTATCGTTTGCCTGTCATTAATTGTCTTTGATATGGTTCATATTTGGATGAGAAATGACGTGAGTTTTGCTCGTTTGACGAGGGGTGTAGCCAGCTGTGTGTGTGTGGGGGGGGGGGAGGGGTCCAATCGGCCGTTTGGGTGTTTAGGGTCTGTTAAACGATATTTCATATATTTTGGACACATTTTATGACAATATGAAAGCGACAGATTTGATATATTTTATGACGTAGATGAAAGCATTACGAGGTTGCGCTTCCACCCGCCCCCAATTCTCCTCCGTTTTGGAAGATTGGTCCTGAAAAAAATAGGGGGTCCGGATCCCATGCCCCTCAATCTGTGGCTACGCCCTTGCGTTTGTCCGTTAATATCCAGTCAAAACTCACATTCTCTCACCTTGAGTCACAAATAGTCCCCTGCCAAGTACAACTGGCGATAAAATCCTCCTTCTGGTTACCAAGCTCTTGGAAATCATCGCGCGTTATCTCTCCTATATCTTTCAAATAATTCTGAAACGCTTTCAAGTCCTTACTGGGCGGTAATATCTCTTCGCCATCTTCCGTAATCTTGACAATCGTATCATTATTAGATGTCGTTTCATCAACCGTCCGACTCATGTTTGCCTTCAAGTGATCTAAATAACTACGAGTTCGTGCCATCTCCTCTGTTATCTCCGCAGTCGTTAGTTCCGTAACTTGAAGCCTGCTTTCTAAATCGTCTAATCTCTTTTCGAGTTCAATTTGTCTTTCGTAATTCGCAGTTAAATTTTCCCAAATAGCCGAAACGTTGACATCTTCATGTTGGAACATTGTAAAGTTGAGAGGCGTGTATGAAATGTTGTGAAAAGTCGTGTTGATGTGGGCATTTATTAATCCCTCAATTTCATTCAACCTTTCTTTCATCTCATTGATATCCTGTTTCATTTTGTCTCTATTATTTAAAAGTTGACGTTTTGTTCGTCTTCGCTCGACAGCACTAGTTACAAAGTAGTCTGCATTGAAAGAAAGGCTTCTTGTTGAGCGGGTTAATTTTTTTGCTTTCGGCTTTCGCGTCCATGGACTAGCTTCTGGTATGCCATCGCCACTTCTGTTCATTTTCGCGGTTTGCCATCTGAATTTTAGAGAAACGAGCAGTATAATTATACAATCAATGTCCATTTATAGGGTGGGTCTTCCGCCACAACCATGTTTTTGTTCATGATATTATATTGTATAAGCATATTTTTTTCATAGCAGTTATTAATGAAGCTTTCGTTGGTAGCGATGCAGCTACCTGGGGCAGGTTGTGGCAAAGCTGGGTGAGTTCAATCCTAGGTTAATTTAAAATTCAAAGGAAATTTCCTAACAGCATGTTTATGAATTTGGAAATATTTCTTCAGAAATCTTGTCTGAGTCTGTAGTAGTTTTGTTCCATGAAGTTTTGAAATAAACAGACGTGGAGAAATGCATATGCATAATCTAAAACAGCAGGTTAATTTTTAACCCAGGCGTAGCGCTAACCCAGCTTTGAACAACTGACCCCTGGACTGAAATACAAGGAGAAATACGACGTTTCGAGCGAAGGCCCTTCAGCGGAAACGTGGAACTTTTCGTGGTATTTTTCAGGTAGCTACATCCGGGAAACGACAAAACGCGGACCCCAGGTCTGTGGACTACCTTCGTGGACCTGGTCCGTGGACTACCTTCGTGGACCACTCTCGTGGACCACTCTCGTGGACCACTCTCCTGGACCACTCTCCTGGACCACTCTCCTGGACCACTTGCGAGACACCAGATTTTTGGGGTTTGAATTCTTGACTGTGCATGCAAAAATGTGCTCGAGTCGAGTTCAGTCATTATTATCATTGTGGAAACTTTACACGAAATGTGAAGTTCTAAATCCATTCACCACATGACCGTTCTAAAATATAAGTGTGCAATTACGACTTTAATGCAAAGTTTCCGAATATATGCCCTTAAAATTGGTACTTTTTTTTCTCGATCGCTACAGGAAATGCAAGAAAAGCAGTAATCGAGCTTCAAAAATTAATATTTTTGGGAGAGGACCTTCAGGCATTGAAAGGTCATTGCAACTTACGACTTCTACAGTTCAAGTGATTTTTTAACAGTAAAATTCGAATAATTCAGTAAAATCCTTTGACCCCCCCTCCCCTCCCCTCCAGATTCTCCACAGTATTCCTATATTTTTTAATGGAACCCTGACTACATTTTTTCAGCATTTTTACAGACTTAGTATTCACTGTTCATCAACAAAAACTGAATTGATTGTGAAATAAATAATGGAAATGAATAATGAAATAGTTCCCGCCAATCTCGGCTCCCTAAACTCGGAATAATAGTGCTTGGTCTATTGTTCGGTAGGCGAAATTTCGCAAGTGGTCCACGAGAGTGGTCCACGGGAGTGGTCCGTGGTCCACGAGTGTAGTCCATGGACCAGGTCCACGAAGGTAGTCCATGGACCTGGGGTCCGCGTTTTGTCGTTTCCCGCTACATCCCTATCAACGAAAGCTTGTCCGATTATTAGCCGTTTTCACATTAGAAGACGGACAAGTCGTCTAGACGAACAAATCGTCTCAAAATCGTCTTTTAGTCGAACAAATCATCAGATGTGAAAACGTGTCGGACAAAATTTTAGACGAACAAGTCGTCTGAATTTGTTCGACTACTTGTCCGTCTGTGAAGACGATTTTTGAGAGACGATGGCTTAAAAAAACTTTGGCTTAAAAAAAACCTTGGATCGGTAGATAATGGCCGTATTCTTTGGAACGCGTTTCGGAAACGTTTGGTCATGAACTTTGGTCAATAAATGGAGGCAAATTAATAGCGTGGAGTATGTACTATTTAAAACACGAGCAGGAGTTATCATATAACACGAGGCGACAGCCGCAGAGTGTCTTATATCTGATAAAGCATGGAATGGACTGCGAGTGTTTTAAATGGCTTAAAAACTACCTATCTTATGAGTTCATTGGCGACGTAATGTTAAAAATCAACGTTGTCTAAGCAGAGAAAATCCAAGCTAAAGTTTATGTGAATAAACATCATTTTCGGAAGCTGGTCAACTCGGCCCACTGACCAACTTGGCCCATACCATCAGGAAAGCTAATATTTTACAAAAGATAATACCAAACCAATACAGCCATTTGCAGTTGTACTGGGCGTACAGATGAGTAAAGTTTGAGAACAGCCATGCAGTTTGACTTAATCTAGTTAAAGAATCTATCGAAGTTTCAAATTCTCGATCTGTCCGTTTTGATATTAAATTACTGATCATTCAAATCTCTCTCAAAATTTGCAAAGATAGAACGCAGTCATGGCTCCTAGCTTGCTTAATGTTTAGATTAGTCAGTTTACAAGCGGGCAGAGTTGGTCCTTGAACGGTGGGCCGAGTTGGTTAGTGGGTTTTTTTTCTCCTATTTAAAGTCAGTGACCACCAAAGGTAAGAGCCTGGGTACGAGGTTGAGTGACCACCAGCCTGCTGTCACGTGACGCTTTTACTGAAACTTACCTCGATCTTCGAACTGGGTTGAGGTTACATATGGTGACTGCTGGGAACTTCATTGAGTCCTGCATGATCACCTTTATCTGGGTTTCAATGGGATCACTGAGATAAAGTAGGATCAACTTGTATGTTTGATATACACACATGGATAATGAAGCGAAGAAAATGACGGTGGTGACGACGCGATAGGAAACTGACTTCCCTTTCTTCCTGTCGTTTGTACCATGCTCCATTTATTTCACTTCGGATTGATAGGAAAATTAACTAATAAAAAAATTATTCTATGTTAGTTACTCGCAAGCACGACTGGATAAAAAAGCTGAGCCTTTGCCACTCATTTGTTTTTATTAACTGTTTTGCCGTTTGCCTACACACGTAAAAATGCACAAGTTGTAACAAACCTGCAGCAGACTAATTGTAGCAATGCTGTTCCAACAACTTGTCAACAGGATGTGTTCGCACTGCTTGTTCCCAGCTTGTTGACAAGTTGTCTACGGCTTGTTAGCAACTTGCTACAAGGTTGTTGAGCTCAACAGATGCAAGTCAACAATTTGTCACAAGTTGTGAATGACAACCTTGTATAGCAACTTGATAAAACAACATTGTTACAACTTGTTGACAAGTTTGCTACAAGCCTGTTGCGAACACATCTTGTTCACAAGTTGTGAGATTTTCAAGTGTGACAGTGTACCCGAAGACACCGTGGCGAAAACAAAATTTGCTTCTTGTGAAGTTAGAATGTTTCTTGCTACAAAATCGGAAAATATTTTGTTTCCAAACTATCGAAAATTTCCTCATTTGCCTAACTTTGAGAAAGATAGCAATGAAATATACTGTGCGTCTAAGCGGTTTCCCTCGATTGTTAGTGATTTGTAAATCGTTATCATATCAGTAAAAATATAAAAAAGACATATAGGAATCGTCGTTTTTCACTGTAGACGACCTTCTCAAGTTTTAGTCTTCTCGAGGTTGATGGCGCTTACCTTCTGAAATTTTGGTACGTTTTGTGTTTCTGAACCAGGCTGTCAGATTTTCAGTCGTATGTACATTCTTCAACAACCTATCTTATGACGTCATAAAAAAATTTGCACTTACCGCGTGTCCACTTTTTGCGCACGCGCGATAAATCAAGATGGAATTTTTGGAATGAGGAATTTTTTAAAAGTATGACGTGATATGGAATTCAGTTTTAACAATTTTTGAAAATGTTTTTCAAAGTCAATTTTTGAGTATTTTTCCTAGTGACCATTGGGGGTATGTGGAGTTTTTTAAACACTAATTTTAAAAATTTTAAACACTTTCTTGGAACACTGCATTACATTAAAAAAGTCAGTATAAGCCAGTATAACACTGACATAGAGCATTTTGATAATTTGATGAGCATTTCATTTTGATAGGTCTCAATCTAATCAGAGAAACATGTGTAGCTAGCTTTGACTGTGGTAACGAATATATTCAAATGCTGGTCACAAATATTGAAGGCTCATGGAAACATATATAAGACATCAATGTTTCTGTCTGGAAGTGACCATCGTTAGATGCAAACAACGGTATTTCGAATCCGTTTTGATTGCGTTTCATGAAGTATTTAGTTTTGATTATTCAAGATGTCGGATGTAAAGTGAGTTAATTTTCTAAAAATATATTTTATTTTTTTGAATTTCGCAAAAATTTAGCCAACTATATGATATTTTTAGTGACAAAGAAGAGACTTGCCAGGAGAATAAAGAGGAGAGTTCGCAAAATGGCAATGAAGGACCGTTTATTTCTAGAAAAATATGTGAGTATATAAATAAATTTGTGAATATAAATTAAATAATTGTCTTTTGACTTTTTCTGCATTACTTCATTCACCTGCATATAATTTCAGTTTGCCTTTATGGCTTTATAAATTGGTAAATAAAATTAACGGTTGTAAGTATTTTAAATTATTTCTAGCGTCGAGTCGAGTACATTACAACTGGGTTGACGTCACAGAAAAGTTTCGACACGCTGCAAGTGGTAAATGACCTATCAGTGACTTATGTATTGTGTACCATAGTCCATAGACAGATTTTCTGGGGGGCTGTAGGGGGGTGCATACCCCCATCCCCCAAAATATTTGCACCCCCTCAGAACTGAATAAGACTAAAAACAAGCATTTTGAACTAAATATAAGACCGAAAATTTTAAAATTTCCTGGGGGCTTCACCCTCTTACCCCCAAACTTATGCCCACTAGTGACTCCCCAGATTCCTCCTGTAGCTTGCTTAGTAATGCTACATGCCCCTTCACTCACCCCTCCTGAATTTTTAACCCTCCCCCCAAGCAAAATCTGAAAATCTGTCTATGTCATGTACACTGGGTAGGTACAGAGGTCTGACTCACCCAAAAAAAACTTGTAACCACCACCACGCCATGTACTTTCAATTGTTCTTGTAATGCTGTTGCCATGTTCCTAGCCAGTGTGTTTACGAAAGGCACTTACCCCCATGATCGTCGTAGCCAGGCCGGCCATTGTGAATATTTTCAAGGGGGTGACAACCTCTCTTTAGTGCAAAGAGCAGGGTGACCAGTTACGCTAACATCAAAGGCACTGACACAAAGTCGGACTTCTGTAAGCCGTTTATTCTGCAGCCATCAAAATTAGGTGAAATTTCCGGAAGCCGAAAGTTATGTTATGAACGAACTTGGCGGCAATTCTATTTTTCACTGTGGCAATTTTTTTTGGCAAGTGTTTTGGATTAAATGAGGATGAAAACATAAGGTTATGTATAATCAAATTATAAAGAATGTCAAGTGTGAAACTTCTTTTAAGAAGACCAAAAATAATAAAGTAACGTGTCTGTTACGGGAAACAAAAAAAAACTGTAACAAAAACATCATGAAAACTTGATGTTGAAACTTGTTAACTATGTTTGGCAAATTTACCAATGAATTTGAGATTTTTGCAAGGCGGCCATTGCCGTTTGCTGCTAATTCCGATGGCTGATTCTGTGCCATGTACATGATGTACTCTACCCATGTTGGAGTAATTTGAGAAATTAACTGTAATATTTTTTGCAGAATTAAAACTTGGGGAATTAGTACATGACCACACGTAAGTATTAAATGCACTGACAGTTTGAATTTCAAATTAAAATTGAAAATAACCCATAAGTTGCATTGCACCCCTATGCGCCCTACTTTATTATTTTACTCTGTCGAGAGGAGAGTGCTTGGTACTCAATAGGTTAAATAATTTTCAATGCTGTGTATTCTAGATTTGGTTTGTTTGAGGCCATGTCTGCCATTGAGATGATGGACCCAAAGATGGATGCGGGCATGATCTTCAATAAAGATAAAAACATATTGTCATTCAAAGAAGCTGTACAGGTTCTTCACTAAATTAAATACTATTAAATTAAAAACAGGAAAATCTCTCTAATACAGACACCTCTCTAATTAATACCTGTGACATCTCTCTAATACAGACATCTCTCTAATACAGACATCTCTCTAAGACAGACATCTCTCTAATACAGACACCTCTCTAAAACAGACACCTCTCTAAAACAGACATCTCTCTAATACAGACATCTCTCTAATACAGACATCTCTCTAATACAGACATCTCTCTAATACAGACACCTCTCTAATACAGACACCTCTCTAATACAGACACCTCTCTAAGACAGACACCTCTCTAATATGAACATCTCTCTAATACAGACATCTCTTTAATATGAACATCTCTCTAATACAGACACCTCTCTAATACAGACATCTCTCTAATACAGACATCTCTCTAATACAGACACCTCTCTAATACAGACACCTCTCTAATACGACCATCTCTCCTAATACAGACACCTCTCTAATACAGACATCTCTCTTATACAGACCTCTCTAATACAGACCTCTCTCTAATACAGACCTCCCTCTAATACAGACATATCTCTAATACGGACACCTCTCTAATACGGACACCTCTCTAAAACAGACATCTCCCAAAAGTCCCGTTTTCACAAGCAAATTTTATTTCACAAATTTCATTTGATCAAATGAATATAAAACAAAACTGATTATTTTTTAAACAAAAATGATTATTTTTTAAAGGCTGGAAAAATCAAAATTAAAGAATTTGCAGCTGATGAAATAGTTGGAATCATAGACGAGCTCACTTCTTGTCTGGTTGGTAAATAATATTTGACATTTGCGCAGACATTTTGTTATTTTTACGACATGAATCAGCGACACATCGGGAACTCTGGGTTCTTCTCTGCATGCCCAGTGTTGGCTTTCTGTTGCTAAAAAACATGTACCGACTCAATCTTTTGGTTATCCACACAGCTCTAATTGTCACTGGGGGTGCACCGGAACAAATTTTTAAAGTTCCAGCCGGAACCAGATCTCGCTGGTTCTGGTGTATATTTTCCTTGTGTACTGTGTAGTCCAAATTTCTTCCTACTGCGAACTTTTGTCAGACACAAAAACATTTGATATTCTATCTCTCTGAAAATAACAGAGTTCTGGTTCCGGCCATGCTTTTTTTATTAGTTCCGGCCGGAACCGGAACTCTGAAAGATTGGGGTTCCAGCTGGAACCGAGTTCCGGTACACCCCTAATTGTCACTACCTGGCTGGCACAGACCCTTCTTTGTAAATCAACTGTCGAGGTTGTTTAGTTGTGGGTATCCTTGATTTTTTTGTTATTATTTTCCATGCAGGTGACGTGGTTAGATGGTCATTCACTCATTCAGACTGTGTTCATCTGTCTTTATGTTCATGATCCATATATCATTGAAGATCCTTGTATCAAGGTAAATCTACCAATGTTCTACAAAATATCGGTCAGTCATGGACATTGTCCGACTCATTTGTGAAATTTCCTACTTAGAGAGGCAACCACCAGACATTCTATCCAACCCAAGTGAAACTGAGGTTTATTGTTTGTCTGACCAGACTGCATTGGTGTCCAACAGAACTGTAGCTTTGTCTGATGTAAATCAAAGTGTACCCTAGTCCGGGACTAGATGCTCTGAATATGTTAGGCCAAATAAAAATAATAGTTGGTTTCAGGTTTCCGACCGACCTGTCAAAAATATGACCGACCTTAAACATTTTATTGAGGACATTTAAACGTTTAGACTGAACGTTGTTGGCATTAAATATTTAGTTGTTGCTCGTTTCCTTGCATGTCAAGTTTTATATGTATGCAGGTGAAAACCTGATGTAAAAACAATAAAAACTAAGAGTTTATAATGAGTTTTAACTGTCTTATATTTATTGCATACTTGAGATAAATTTTTTTTTAAATAAAATGTTTTTCCGACCTACCTACTCAATCATATAAAACATGGCTGTGAAACCTGAAACCAACTATTATTTTTATTTGGCCTTAAATGGAGAATCATAGTAATATACAAAGAGTGAACCAGAAAAATGTTGTCTTAATGTAATCAACCATAAATTTTAAACGATATTCTTCGCTGAATATTTGCGTATGACAAAATCTACAAATCTACAAAACTACAGTACTCTCCAAAAATGGCTGGCAATGACTTGCAGATGGTCTAAATTTTGGGAGATGCCCTCGAACCACAAGGGCAGGGCCCTTGGCGAAGTACCTTCGGTACCACATAGCCCGCCTACTTAATTAAAAATGCCTCCTACCCAAATTTGATTGGGAACTCTGGGTAAGCGAACAACCCAACCACATCCGAAGCAAATTAGGGTTGGCAGAAAAAAAGTCAAATTAAGAATATTTTTTCTTATTTCTTACAGGCATTTTGTATTGTAATTCTACGAATATGTGAAGTAATAAGGAATATCATTAATAAAGCTTCAGTGTATGAAGAGGTATGCAGTTGTTATTTAAAAAATATGTTCTCTTATATACATTGGTTGCAGAGAAAAATTCAACTGAAAATATATGTGTTTCCTCGTACAGGAAGATTTTCAACCAATGACATATGGTTTCAAATTGACATCACAAGTCACAGATATAAGAATTTCAGGTACATACCATAGGTGAATGTTATTTCTGGAGCACACTATCCAGCAACTGGGAAATTTGGCTGGATAAGATAATTTTTGTGCTGATTATTCTGCACACATTCACGCTTTAGTTACATAAAAATGTTGTCATTTTATCAATTTGCTACAAGGTTGTCATTTACAACTGAATGTTTGTATTTATTTAGGCATGCTAAAGGAAGCTGAAGATGAGATCAATCGCAAGTTAAAGGTACAATATCTACCTACAACCATGACCCCAGCTGTCCAGAAACATTTGGCAGCTCAGAGCAATTAAATTATCCTTGACTCAATTACTTACTACTACCTGTATGTGGTAGTTACTACTGCTAGCATCTTACTATACTGTCAAAAATGTGATTTCTGTTATATGTATTTATGTGAAATATTAACCCTGTAAGTGGCAATGCACCCTGATGCGCCCTACTTTAGTATTTTATTCTGCCCCCTACTTTAGTATTTTATTCTGCCCAATGCCAGATGATTTTACTCGTCAAATGGAGAGTGCTGCCACTCAATCGGTTAATTTAGTTAGTCCAATAAGGCACATTTTATCATTAGTTAGTTATAATGTATAGTATTAGTCACATGACCACACCAGCTATGCTATGATTATGATATTATTGTGTTTAAACAATTGCTTTTAAATATATTATTATTCCTTACATATTCAAGAATTGGTATTCTCTTCAGGCTGTTAAAAGTCAAAGAGTTTCTGGCGATTCAACAACGCTTTCCAAAGAGGTTTGATGAAGTTATTAATGGTTTTTCACACTACATTTGTTGACTTCTGTGTTATAGATAGTGTTGTACAGTACAGCTTTGTGTCAACATTGCCTAAAAAGATTAAAACACTCTCTTTTCTATTCTTTAACAGATAAAGGAACTTGAAGCATTGTGGTTTCGTTTGAAATTTTGGAAATCATTCCATACTGCTGTCATACATCTGGAAAAAGCTGATGTAAGTTGTTACAGTACAAGCAGAGTTTTGAGAAAAACAGTTATACAGGGATGGATCCAGCCATATCTGGGGGTGGGGTATCACCCCCTTGTACCCCTGTTGCCAAAGATAGGGGGTGCCCCCAAGACACGTACACACCCCACAGGAAACATATCAGATGTGCTGTCATAGCCACCAACTGGATTACTCTGTCAGTTCTAAACTGTCCTCGCCAGAGGAGTTGATGATTGATGCTTCAAATAAAGAAAGTTAGCTCAGAGATTCTTTCCCAAACCTCTGCTCGCAATATATGCTAATTAACTTGACGAGATGCTATTTCCTAACCAAATGCCGCTCTTTCATTATCTTATTCAGATCACAAGTCTTGGAACGGCAAAGCAGTCACTCTCTACTGCTCAGAAATATTTAGGTCTGGCGAAAGGGAATGTTGAACTTGGCTTGCAACCTGACAGTGAGGGTATGGTATTGCCACAAATCCAATACTTTTTCTTGGAAATATGAAACATCTAAGTATGAGATGAAATTAATTTTGTTTTCCAGGCAATATGTTGGGTTTTGAACCAATGGTGAACCAACGCTTATTACCGCCATCATTTCCACGTCACACTACGATATGCAGCAGAAATGAGGTAAGGATCTTGATGTCTAGTTGGCGATGAAGTAGTTAGGGAGCAGTCATTATTTATGGTGGTGAGTGGCACCGAAGAGAAATGTTTTCTTGTCAAAAATTTTGCTGGTCCAACCATTAAAAAGTCAAATTAAAAATAAACACCCACCCCTGGTCAAAAACTTTACAAAATGATACTATTCAGTTGTCACAGATGTTCTTTACCACTTTGATAACTCCATGTTGCAATTTTCTGAAGTCTAAAGTTTCATGTTGTCTGCACATGTACTTTCTTTGGAGATGCCATTTGCCTCCAGACAAATTGGAAAATGATCAAGATATAGTGATTGATTCACATATTGTATTGACATATGACAATGATGTTGACAATGCTTTTTAGTCTCCAATATTTCAGTGACTCACAGATTTTTTTAAATACAATTCATTATACTGTAATTTACGATTACAGTATACTTATACAGTGTACTGTAAAAAAATAACAGTGCATTATTCGGTAAAAACCCCAGATATTTTTAACAGTGTGCTATGGTTTCCAACCGCAGTAACATTGGGCCAATAAGGGAATAGATTTTACTCAGCCCTCAGAGAGAACAGTTTAGAATTGATACACAGCGTCCCAGTAGACATAATGACCCAAGAATACTGTTGTTTCTGCAGGCATTTCAATATATGGAAAATCTTATAAAGAGACTCGACTCTGCTACCAAATGTACAGAAAATACTGCATTACATCAATTACTGGTAAGATTTAAATTTGTCCAATTTGGTGCACTTGCTATTATTTGAGGTGGGAGGGAGTACGGCGTTATGACGCGAAAACGACATTCATGCCTGCCATCTGTTTTTGCATTTGTAGGACTTTTTTGAATCTTTCAGCAAACTATATCCGTGTGTCTTCTCGAGGTCCCTATTACAGGTACGTTTTGGTAACATACTGTAATCTTGAACTGTCTGTGAGTGTCTGTGCCAGTGTAGTGTAGTGTAGTGTCAACTACCTGAAAATATAAGGAGAATTTCGACGTTTCAGTAACTCGAGATAAAGGGCCTTTGCTCGAAACGTCGAAATTCTCTTTATATATTTTCAGGTAGTTTACGTTTAGAAAAAGTTTACGAAAACTTGTTTACGAAGACTACTTGTTTTACAAGTACTGTAGTTTACGCAAGCTTGTTTACGTTTTTGGTAATTTAAATTAACATGCAGAGGTGGAAATGTTTTTCTGTTTCTGGCAAGCTGGGTTTAGGGCTCAAAATTTTCTGCAAAAGATTACAATAATAATATATAAGGGAAAAGAACAAATTTGTCATTTGTGACTGTCTTTTTTACCTAATACATGGATTGTATTCATTAAGATGTGTTGTCGTGGGAAGCATTTTATCTTTAGACTGATAAGGCATGCAAGATAAAGTCTTACAGTCTTACTTGATTAAAAACAAATTTCCAACTGCAGGCTATATGAATATTCTTATTTCATATGTTCCCCTGTATAATTTGGGTATCGAGTTAATAAATTTTAGTGACTTCGATATTCAATCAGTGTAATTTTCGGAATTAGCTATCAAACATCAAAAAATATCTGTGAAAATTTCTGCAAAAATGTAGATCCCCAGAATTTTTTTTTGAACTAGGTTCCCATGTTCTGATACTTTTTCGATCTCTGGTAACATGTCCAACCTACACACGTAAAAACGCACAAGTTGTAACAAACCTGCAGCAGACTTGTAGCAATGCTGTTCCAACAACTTGTCAACAGGATGTGTTCGCACTGCTTGTTCCGAGCTTGTTGACAAGTTGTCAACGGCTTGTTGACAACTTGCCACAAGGTTGTTGAGTTCAGCAGACTTGTTACAAGTTGTTCCAACAACTTGTTATCGTCCTGCAATTCAGCAACTTGTCAACAAGTTGTGAGTGACAACCTTGTAGCAACTTGATAAAATAACAGCATTGTTACAACTTGTTGACAATTAGCTTGCTACAAGCCTGTTGCGAACACATCTTGTTGACAAGTTGTGAGATGTTTACGTGTGTAGCTAGTACATGTTAGTTCTTAAAAACTGACCTATAGTTAAAAGACTGTGCCAGATACGTTGCCTACTGTATGATGTTTGATTTATCATTAAATATTGTACTTTTCAGATTATCTTCTGGCACAACAACAAAGTTTTTGGCAAAACACCATTATCTGAAGTTCTTCAACAAGCTATCAAGCAGTTCAACAGTCCGCCATCGATTGCTGAAAAGTGAGTTACTTAATAATCAGAGAGTAGAGAGATTGAAATTTGGCTTCCGCCATCTCTCACAGGCACGCATTTGATTGGTTAATTGGGTAGATTGAGTGCACCTGATTGGTTAATGGTAGCGGAAGTCAAAGTCTGAAGGCCTATTTCCAGTCAAGAAAATTTTCCGCAGAGAGAAAATTTTGTAAAATGTGATTGGTCGACACAATTTTCCGTGGGAAAAAAAGTTTGAAAGTTGAAAATTTTCAACTTTTAACAATGATATTTTCGAAAACTTTTCTGTCCGTGGAAATTTCTCTTGAGTGGAAAAGGGCCTTTGAACCTCTGTAAAGTCGATGAAGAGAAAACCTCATTCTATCTTAATGCTTAAAGTAAGTAACATTCTGGTCATTTGTAGGTCGCCTTTAATTAACAATCCTCAAGCTCAGAAGTTTGTGGATAGTTTTCTTGCAATGGCTGAACGGGTAAGTGAGCAACAAACAGACAGACAGACAAACAAACAGACAAATGAACAGACAGACAAACAGACCAGCACTCAGGCAGTGCTAACATATTCGTGTATTTGTTTTTTCTCAGCCAATCACGTCTCTTATTCGCTGTATGTGTCACAACCGCGCACGACAACGAGACAAGTTGGTATTTCTGTTGGACGAATTTGCTGTTTTACAAGATGAGGTACAGAAAATGTTTGTACAGTGTAAAAATTAAACTAAGGCCAAAAAAAAAATATGTGGGTTTCCGGTTTCCCGACCCTACCTAGCTTTTGGACGTCGAAATCCCGACCCTAAACTTTTTTATTGGATCATGCTTGTAAGTGTTTCCACTTAGAGGAAAAAGTTTGTGGAAAATTGAAATTTGAGGCAATATTAGGGAAATTTATCTTTGCAAGTAGAAGCACTGACTAAACAAAATGGCGTCCGCTTGTTCGGAAAATTAAAAAAAAAGTTTAAAAAAAAAGTTAAAACCGACCTACCCTACCTAAGTTTTTATACGAAGAAACCGGAAACCCACATATTTTTTTTTTGGCCTAACTAAACTTTATTTATATTGGATAGCTCTAACAGTTCTAAACTGTCCTCCCTAGAGGTCAAGTAAAAATAATTTTTCACCAGTGTTACTACAGAAGGAAACCTAAACTAAAACTAACTTTATTTATACTAGATAGCCCCATCAGTTCTAAATTGTTCTCCCTGGTGTCCAGTAAAAATCATCTCTTAATCCAGTGTAACTAGAAGAGAAACTAGAATAGTGTACACTGTACATGGAGAAAACCTATGGCGTTTGGTACAGTCAGACTGGAAACATGCTTCTCGCATGCAGTAGACTAGCCATTGTGCCAACAATACAGTGGCCGGTTGTACGAAGGTCCGCTATCCACCGGATAGTGATTTTTTCAACCTTTGTAAAATGCTTGAAAAACTGTGAAACTACGGATATAGACGACACAAGAAGTATAAAAAAACATTTAACTTATAAATGCTAAACTTTAATACGAGTTATACCAATCAACGACTGATTTAACAAAGTTTGAAAAAATTACTACCCGCCCCAGTTCCTTATTACAACGTCTTCATAATTTTTCTTTAGGCAGACAAAGTTGACGCTGATTTGCATCACATGATTGTCGCTGTTGAACCAAAGGTAAAAATATGGGGGAGGGGTTGAGGCGCCTGCCTCTCTTTGTCCCCCCCCCCCCTCCCCTAGCGTCCGCCGCTGCTCAACTGGCTTGTTAAACAACCACATGTCATTCTGTAAACTTACCATGTGATTGGCAAATATATCAGAATTTTCCTGTTTCAGAGAGAGCACTTTGCTTGTTTTGGATCATGGGTTCTGAACCGTACCTTGACGATCATGATTCAATATTTGTTGCTGGGAATGGAGTTGCAGTTGTTTAGTGCACATGAATATCATTATTTATTCTGGTGAGTTCGTAACTAAGTTTCAGGATTTTTTTGGGGGGGGGGGAGGGGGACATCTCACACTCGTCTGAACATTGAAGGTTTTTCTGGTTTTTCAAATAAATTAAATCATTTGCAACGTATTAGTAAAAAAATCTACTACGAGAATTACTTTACTGCTAATAATAAGAATATCAAAAATACTTGGAAGGGAATTAAACAACTTATTACTTTGAAACCTAGGGGACATAGCTTACCTACAAAAATTATAAAGGATGGCCAGGAGATAAAAGAAACTAAGAATATATCCTTGGCATTCAATGAATACTTTTCTAATATTGGAAAGAACATTGCAGATTCTGTTCCATGTACTAATACAAGGACACAAGCTTTTATGGGTAGTCCTGTGCCAAACAGCTTCTTTATGACTCCTATTCTAAAAAGTGAAATTGAGTTTGAAATTGGAAAACTTAAATCTTCCAAAGCAACAGGCCCTTTTAGTATTCCAATTAATTTACTAAAAACAGTTAAATCTAGCCTGTCTACTCCTCTTGAAATAATATTCAATCTTTCCTTCCTGACTGGTACGGTTCCAGACCAATTCAAAATAGCGAACGTGATTCCAATTCACAAAAAAGGCCCACTGACTATGTTAACAAATTATCGCCCAATCTCACTTCTCTCCATTTTTAGTAAAATTTTGGAAAAATTAATGTATACAAGATTAACTAGATTTATTGAAAAATATGAAATTTTATATAACAAACAGTTTGGTTTTCGTTCCAAGCATTCAACGTTACAAGCAGCTCTTTCAATAACTGATAACATTCAACAAGCAATTGAGAAGGGATGGTATTCTTGTGGAATATTTTTAGATTTTTCCAAAGCATTTGACACTGTAAACCATGACATCCTTCTCAACAAGCTTGATCATTATGGAATAAGAGGTTTGGCTTACGATTGGTTTTCCTCATATTTAAGTAACAGGCGCCAATTTGTTTCAATCGGGCATATCAAATCCGATGAAACTCCAATTAAATATGGTGTTCCACAAAGTTCAGTATTGGGTCCCCTTTTATTCCTCTTATATATTAATGACTTCCATAACTGCAGTGACATTTTTGAATTTAACATATTTGCAGATGACACTAATCTTTTTCATGCTAATGCAAATCTTGTTAATCTAGAAATAACTATTAATAGAAATTTGGAGAAAATTTTTGACTGGTTGGCAGCTAACAAACTGTCATTAAATATTGACAAAACAAACTTTGTTTTGTTTCACCCCCCTCAGCGAACTCCAAACCACGTGATTGCTTTATTTATCAACAATAGTCAAATTAAACAAGAAAAATATATCAAATACTTAGGAATTTTCCTTGACTCAAACTTACGTTGGAAAAGTCACATTACTCATATATCAAACAAAATTAAACGCTGCATTGGTGTAATCTCAAAAATTCGCAATTTCGTGGGTTTACATATACTTAATTTAAACAATTATACTATACTCTCATTTATCCATATTTGACGTACGCTTTACCAGTGTGGGGTAATACATATCAATCTAATCTTGATACTTTAATAAGGTTGCAGAAAAAGGCAGTCAGAATTATGACTTTCTCCAGTTTTAGGACACACTCAACCCCTCTTTTCAAACATTGTGACATACTTAAATTTGTCGATTTAATATATTATCAGAATGCTCTATTCATGTTTGACTTCCACGTGGGTAATTTACCCGCTGTCTTTGATAATTTCTTTCAAAATGTTTCCGAAGTACATAATTATAACACTAGATCTTCTACAAAAATTTTTTTATATATTCCGAAAATTCGGACAGACTATGGTCGGTTTAATCTGCGCTACTGTGGTAGTTTAATCTGGAATTCCATTGATAGTAAATTGAAATCTCTAAGCAAATATAACTTCAAAAAATTATTTAAAAACTCTCTACTTCAAGCTTATAATGACTAAATTCGGTTTCCATTTGTGATATTTTTGATGATATATTCTTTTGCGTCTATTGTACTTTGTCTTTCCCTTAATGCATGTGATTTGATTATATACAGTATATACATTTCGTCTTTCGCTTGTGTCTTTTGTCTAAATGTGCTACTTAGCTTGATTAGCCCTTATGGTTATTTCTTTGTAGCCTTTACTCTATATTTGTGTAATGTATTTTGTTGTAAATTATTGTATCACCTCAGAGTATTAAATTATCCTTATCCTTATCTGGGGGGGGGAGGGTGCGCACACCCCAGAAATTATTTGCATCCCCCCAAGGCATTTGGCACCCCCGCAAATTACATATATTTTGATTTGATAGTTTCATATTTGATTATTCTTACTACTAAATTTGTAAAATTACCAATATTATGGTCTCAGATCTCGCCATGCAGGCCTAGAAAACAAATTTTGTTAAAATTTTCCTTGGCCTTTCCGGGCGTTGCCACCACGCCCCGGCCAAAGCAGGCAGCAGCACCCCCCAGATATTTATCCCCCTCCCCGAACGAAAATATGAAAATCCGTCTCTGGCCTACAGTATAGTTACATTTTTAGCCGCTGCTCCTGATCTAAAAAATGTATAAAATGTACATTCTAATTTCCATTTACAAAACCCTCGCAACTAAATGAACTTTACTTATATTGGATAGCTCTATAAATTCTAAACAATTTTTTTTTCTCCAGGTATTTAGATTATTTATTCAACTGGCAAGCGACATGCTTGTCGAGAGCAACAGAATTACTACAATCCCACGAAACAGCGCTGGGTAAGCTACGGACAGTACTGTGTTTTTTATGTACTATTTAAAGCACGCGTAGGAGTGTGATAAAACATGACTACAAGTGCTTTAAATGGCTTCAAAAACGACTCATCTTATACGAGTTCATTGGCGAAGTATAATTTTTAAAATAAACTTTGTCTAAACCGAGAAAATCAAAGCTAAAGTTTATGTAAATTAACATGATTTTTTATCACATATAAAGATACGACACGCTTATGATTTTTCTTTGTGTTTTCCTCCTGAATTATTAATGAGTTTTTGAATATTAAATAACATTTGTTTTGAAATTTTTGACGTGATATGTTTAGAACAAAAGAGCGGGAAAAGTGGAAAGAAGAATAAAAAGAAAAAAAGAGGTCAGTTAGTAACTAAATAAAGTAATATTTTCGAGTTTGATTCGCGTCGCGGACTTACGACACTTCTATGAAGAATGTCACTCCACGCTCGGGCACGCATAAGCTGATTGGGTCCATTGCTATTTTGTTTTAGCGAGTGAGAAATATATCCAAGAACATCAAGGAATGAAGCAGTTTTATCACGGCATGAGAAACTTGTGTTCTGGTTATATGAAAGTAAGTTGCTCGTTGTTGTAGCTGCAGATAAATTTATGTTCTCGATCTGTAGTTTTTGTGTCAGCCTAGCATGCAAAGCATATGTTTCGTTTGGGAGGCTCGTTTGACCGTATGAACAAGCTTTCGTTGATAGGGATGCAACTACCTGAAAAATATAAGGAGAATTTCGACGTTTCGAGCGAAGGCCCTTGTCTGGACGAAGAGGAGACCGTGTTAGTTTGACCCTGATATTTTGTGTCAGTTTAGCATGCAAAGCAGTTGTCTCGTTTGGGAGGCTCGTCTAACCCTAATCTTTTATTTGCGTTTTTCTAGGCGCTGGAAGGTTTCTTACTTTGTGGCAAGATTTGTTATCCTGCAGAGCAGTTCGACAGCGAGAGGGTAAGCGACGTGACCAGGATAAATTAAGTATCACCATTTTACATTTACAACAAAGAAATCAATCCACTATATGGTATTTATCAGGGTCGGATCTAGCCTCATCTGCAAGGAGGGGTGCAGGTTTTTCACGGGGTGGTGCATGATGGAGCCTTACTGTCCACTCTCCTCTGCAGTCTGCAACGTTACTATCCCAACATTGCCATTGAGATGGTCGAATCTGCACGCTGTTCTGTCACATTTTACATTATCTTTTGTTCATAAAATTTACTGTATAAACCCATTGCACATGGCGTCACAGCGCCGGTGACGATGCATCTGGAGGACAAATTGGCAATCTATGCATAATATAACTTTTGTAAACAAAGCAAATTTTGTAAAACTTTATAATAATTTTGTATTAAAATGGTTTGCGCTGTATGTGGTTGTCGCACCAGAACAGATATTGTTGGGGAGCATCTGGAGGACACTCTAAGGATTTCTGACGTCAGTGCAATGGGTCTGTATCGTTTTTTTTATCACGTATGCGTGACTAGCACAGTACTGTAAATTTGCTTGTTAATTTAATGCAATGTTTGGAAAGAAACTTTGTAGTAATGTAATGAAGGTCAAAATTGGATGAGTCGTACAGTTACAATGATTCAAATATGGGGAGGGGGGGGAGGGGGACGTTTTAAGTCCAAATATTTTATGGGGGCCATAAGTTAGACCGCTGCACCTCGCCTAAATATTCTTCCACCTCTCCCACCATTTCCACCAAAATCCGGCCTTGGCAGCCATTATACGATTCGATGGAGAGTTTATGAAATGATTTGTCGTTATAGATGAGATTCGAGCACCGTTTCTTCCCTTTCCAAACGTTGGACACGCCTCAACCTCGACTTTTCACACAATATCAAGAAACTTTAAGTATAACTCTCTCTCATATAACAAAGGTAAGATAAATTTCATTGTTATGTACAAGGATAGAGTATGCCACCTCTGTGCGCCTTACTACACACGTAAAACTCTCACACCTTGTAGCAAGTCTGCCAACAAGCCGTCAACAAGTTATGTTCGCACTGCTTGTCCCAAGTTGTCAACAAGTTTGGAACAAGCTGTCAACAACTTGCAACAACCTTGTTGCTATTATCGGACTTGTGGCAAGGTTGTTCTATAACAAGTCCGATACAGTTATGATATAACAATATTGTTACAACCTTGTGTCGTCAACCTTGTAACATTCTTGTTATATCATGACTGTATCAGACTTGTTGGAACAACCTTGTAACAAGTCTGATAATGCCACAAAGCTTGTTACAAATTGTTAACAGCTTGTTCCAAACTTGTTACAACAACTGCGAACAAGCGGTGCGAAGACAACTTGTCGACAGCTTGTGAACAGATTTGTAACAACTTGTTTGCAGACCTGTAACACAATTTGTGTGTTTTTACGTTTGTAGTAAAGGGACGTTAGTTGAGCGAAGTTATTGAAAGGGTTGGATTGAGAATTTCATTTTTGTTGCATATAGGAAACAGATTTATTTGGGTTATCCGCACGAAGTTTTCAACAGGCAAAGACGATATTTGAAGGATTATCAAATGTTCCCCAGAAGGTAAGAAAGAAAGGACCAAAAGCTCATTTCCACTCAAGAAAAATTCCCGCGGTCAGAAAATTTTCCTTAAAATATCATTAGTAAAAGTTGAAAATTTTCAGACAGATTTGAGATGATCATGTGTTTATTAAATTTGTGTTGTAGGTGGATGAACTTCTAAAAGTAGCCAAGACTAACTTTGTTGTCATGAAACTTGCTGCTGGGGGCCATAAACACGATTCACAGGTAAACACAGTTTGTGTACAGGGCGGACACTAGGGGGCGGGGGACACTAGGGAGCGGGGGACACTAGGGAGCGGGGGACACTAGGGAGCGGAGGACACTAGGGGGCGTGGGGAACTAGGGGGCGGGGCCTCCGTAACAATGCGTACCTGCCAACTGTCATCCACGTTTGATCGTGACTTGTCTTTTAACCGAAAGCCCTTCGATGGCCACCGACATTTCTCCCTAACGTTGAAGTGCATTTAATCCACAGCAGCTTATTGTAGAATACTACCTGTACTGCACCACCACGTTCGAGATTTTTTCAGGTAGTTCAGACACAAACCACGGCAGCTTATTGTAGAATACTACCTGTACTGCACCACCACGTTCGAGATTTTTTTAGGTAGTTCAGACACAAACCACGGCAGCTTATTGTAGAATACTACCTGTACTGCACCACCAC